TTTTTTTTTTTTTTTTTTTAATTTAGATAGAAGACTGCTGTTTGGGTGATTCTCCTGAAAAGAGGAGTGATAAGAGACATTTAAGAAGCTAACAGCTATTCAAAAAAAATAAATAAATAAATAAAAAATAAAAAAGGACAAAAGCCAGATGAACAATGACAAGGTGGGGAATGCAGCCAACCTAATCCCTCTGAATCAACTACTCCCCTGGTTGAAAGACTCAACCATTTGTCCTTGTTGCAAAACCTGCTAAAAGTGATTTAACAGAAGAAACTTTTTAGACTCCGTGCAAACTAAGGGAAACTACTGCAATAAAAGGGCATTAAATCTTATTATGTGGTATTTTGAGGGRGAGGATTTGGGGAATGAACAAGATAATTTGGGGACTGGCAGGATTAGAAATGCTTGGGAAGGAAACCGATGAAACAACAAAACATGATTTTCACAGTCCTGAGATGACTGGCAAAATTGGGATTAGGAAAGGTTTCCTCTGTGCATGTAACTGCTCCTGAGGATCCCTGTATTCTGCTCCGTAGTCATACTGKTTTCATCAGGCCACTCTTCCAAGTGGACCGTCTTTCCTGCATCATTTCAGAGAATTAGGAAGCCATAAGAGAACATGTTTACTTTGGTTACTTTGGACTAAATGGTCTGCAGAGGTCCTTTCCAAAGTCATCCAGTCTATGATCCTATGACTGTAACTGCATGTTCAGAATCAGGATYGCGGAAATGGAGGGATCAAGAGGTATCAGAGATGAACAAACAGCAAATAAGCATCAGAAAATGAAAAGAAGGCATAGACATAGAAGGCTGGACATATATAAGCTGCCTCTAGTCAGTGTGCTTGTCTGGACAAATTCTGTACCCAATCACCACATTTTGTATTCTTTGTAAACTATTTCTAATTAGTTCATGTGTAAATGTGCTCTCTATTTTGTGTGCATTTATGTGTGATCTACCAGCAAACGTCAAGTCTAACTAGCCAAACAATAGAGTGAAAGGTTTGGGGGCCAGAGACTCCTGGGGAGGGGGTGTTCTTTGTGTTTGATCCTTAGTAACCAGATTGGGTTATTCATGTTTATATGTTTATTCTGTGTTTATATGCGTGCTTTAAAGGACTGTCTGCTGCCTGTGTTAATCTATGTGTCTAGCCATGTCTGTACCATGCGTGTGCACGCCTTTTGCTTRTTTCTGCTCCACCATGCTCCTGGTAGGATATGAAATGGAGGTAAGCAGCCACTCAACTTCATCAGTCCAGGAAAGAATGAATGCTCTGGGACTTTTAGTCCTCCAGATTTGGCTGCCTTTAATATTTTCTGGGCAGATGAACTTGGCCGCTATCTGCATTCCAATACCTGTGTTTGACTCCAGCATCCAAGCACTGTGTTAGGGATGTTAAGAGCACATCACTGTTACCTTTAATATATGTTAAGGGACAGATTTTCCATTAATTTGTGTAACATCTTTTTAAGTCCCTACTAGGCTCAAGAAAAAAATTACAAACATTTGCTAAATTTTGGTAAATCTCAATCCCACATCAGCCTGCTGTTAAACAAATAGTAGAGTCCCAGCCTTTTCAGTGTCTCCTCATGAAGCATTTCTTCCATCCCATAATTATTGTCATCCAGTCCCACACTATAATTTGTTAAACTTGCTTATAGAAATTTGGTGGAATCCTCTCTGAAAGTGTGCATAAATATAAGCCAACAGTCATTTCACTGGTAGCAGTTCTTGCTAAACCTTTAGGAGCATTCTTTAAATTTCCATAGCACAGAGTGCCAAGGAAACAAGTTGCAGCTCTGGGCTTTTGAGCAGGCTAGGGTTTTTGAACCTATTTTAAYTTCGAACCCGTTTGGACATTTACTGGAGAAATTGCTTAATTAGAGAGCTAGCCATGGGGTGATGGTGACACTCAGTGGCCCTGCAGGAAAAGTGCACCTTCTGAGTTCATGAGCAAAACATTTTCCAAGTTATCAAGCCTAGAGTGGCAGGGAATGAACCTCATAGGCAGGTAAGTAAACAGCATTACTTAGCATGAGGATGAGTCTGCACTCTCCACCCTACAGATTGTTATAGCGCAAGCGTGTAAATGGACATCTATGCATCTGCATTTGCATTTGGTTTCTTATAAAGCATGGCTTACATGTGTGAGTCATAGAGTATCTGGACATACAGGTAGCTCAGCACAAGCATTTTCTACCTACTACAATTGCTTTAAGGTAAGATTAATGATAAAGGACTGACCGAATCCATCTTCCTGTATGGGGCTGTTGAGATGAGTCAGGAAACCAGTTTGATTGCTCCTGACAAAACTGGCTTCCTGCAAGGTGTGGACTAGCTGTCAGTTTCCACCACACCTCCTGCTAGCACTGACCAAGCTGGCCTATCACCAGCTTCAGCAGGAAAAAAATGGACAGGAAATATTCCTAGGAGCCCCAGGGTTTATTGCCATTATGTCCTGTCTCTGAGCAAGAAGGTTTATCTGACTGTACTAGCATCTACCACTTCTAGTACTCATTCCTGACCTCTGCAACTTCACGTTTCACACAAATTTGAAGATACCATCATGTCCTCCTTCCCTTCTCTGCATTCTCTTTCTTCTAAGAATGATCCTAGTATGAATCAACACTTCTGCGATGACAGGACTTCTCCATGTTTGCCATCTGAGAAAGGAGAAAGGCTTAAACATCTCCTCACCTTTGTTTCTGCTCCCTCAGCATACAGACTGATGCATGCCAGATAGCCTCTGATCCCTGCAGTGAGTGGGGTGTTAGAAAACATAAGAGGGAGATTAGAATGCTTTGTCTATGTATAAGGAGCCAATACCAGGCATCAGTTACCTGCAATACCCTGAAGGCGCCTTTCTCCTCCCCATCCCCCTCTAAAATGTGAACTGCATCAAAAAAGAAAATCAGATCAACAAACAAGAAAATAATAC